TACCCTCTTCACTAAATAGTTGAATACTTTCATAAAAAGGAACTCCTAATCTATGTTTTGATTTTCAGTGTTGCATTTGTTTAGGAAAGGCAGGGTAAATATTTTAGTCTTTTATTTTATTTAATAGTGTTAAAAAACTAATGTTCTCCAAAGATGACCAGAGTGTTGGTTTTTAAAGAATGTGTCATTTTAAACTCATGAATTTACAGATACTTGTATTTCAGTCAGTTCCAATGAACACGTTGATTGATGCCCACATTGTTCTAGTCATAACCCTGGGAGTTTTTTCAAGTTGGCCCTGGGTCCCTTTGAACAATCCAGTAGTCTTTATAATTTCTTTACTGTCTCTTCTAATTTCTTTACTATTTGGTATGACAGGATATTCCAGGCCTATCTAGTACATGTCTAGCCTGAACCTATAATTGGCTATTTTCCCAAGGAGCCCAGGTTCCTTTTCATGGGAATAGCATTAAAAAATCAGAAAGTGAGTCCTATGGGCACTAATTGCTAATATGTATGACATGGTTCTGGGAAAATTCATAAGACATAGTTCGCAAAATTTTTTGAAAGGTAAAATGCACTGTGTGTTTATCCTGATTCTTGTATTTCAAATTTAACACTGTAGGCTTTCTACTGAACCTCATCAATTTTGTTTTTCTTTTTCCTGTGTGAAGATGGCATAGGATAAAACTGTGTATTTTATGTTCTTATTTATTTAATAATACTTATTTATTTAATACTAACTCTTGCTTTATCCCATATTCTACTCATACCAGTCTCAGTATAGCAATAGCACCACCAATTTAATCCCTAAAAATGTTTGTTTACTTGTTAGGTAGTTCTCTTTGTATGTGGGGTATATCACATTAGACATCTGTAGTTAAATTTCTTTCTGTGCTTTAAAGTTACTTGGAATAATACTTTTTTGGGTAGTTAAGCCATTACATGGATACTCATTGCATTCATATTTATTTATTTATTTTTGGGGTACCAGGGATTTAACCCAGGCCAAGCCACATTCCCAGCCCTTTTTTTAAATTTTAATTTTGAGTTGGGTTTTTGCTAAGTTGGTGAGGCTGGTTTGAACTTGTAATCCTCTTGCCTCAGCGCCTGATTCCTTGGAATTACAGATGTGTACCACTGCACCTGGCTCATTTTATTTTTTAAGACGTTGCTCTTTTAAATTTTAACTTTATTTTTATATTATGTGAAGTAATTCAGTGTTGATAAAAATCTAAAAGAAGCAAAATGTAGTCTAGGAAGTCTACTATCCCTTAACTTTCCTTTCTATTTCTTTCCTATAGATGAAAATATGTATTCACATACCCCTTTTGATAAATAAATTATAACATACACCATACACAGTTCTACCTTTCTTTTCTTTAGTTACATATATTGGAGGTGGTTCCATATTTAAATATAGAGATCCTCATTTGTTTTGTGGATATATTTTTATTTATTTAACCATTTTCTTATTTGTGGACATTTGGATTGTTTCAGGTATTATAAATAATCCTATAATGTTCCTTTTGCATACATCCTTTGTTGTTTTTGACAGTTATCTTTGAGAGTGGTTGCAAAAAGTCAAAGAGTAAAATGCATATATGATTATGCTAGATATTACTATATCCCATTCATAGTGATTATATATTGTACATCTTCACTAGCACTGTGCCTGATTCTCAACATACTATTGTTATGAAATGTATCTCTTTTTTAACTTTGGTCATCTTCCTTATTCTGCTAATCTTTGAGAATAGTATAGCCATTGCTACTTTCTTTTGTATTAGTGTTTGTTATGGCATATTATTTTCTATTTTTTAAAAACTCTTTTAGTTCTTCCTGGGACTTGATATTTAAAGTGGGTGGGGTTCTTACAAATATCTTAATTGGGGCTTTGCTACTGTTGTTGTTGTTGTTGTTACTTATGTTTCTTTGTTATTAACTTGGTTGTTTTTGGTCCAGTTTGACAATGGTCTTTCAGTTAGACTATTTAGACCAATTGCATTTAATATAATTATTGATATGGTCAGTTTTGAGACAGGGTCTTGCTAAGTTGCCTAGGGCCTCAGTAATTTGCTGAGGAAGGCTTTGCATTTTCCAGCCTTCTGCCTTGGATTCCTGAGTTGCTGGGATTACAGGTGTGAGCCGCCAAACCTGACCTTATTTCATTTTTATTGTGTCTGTTGCTACATCCTTAATTCACATATCTTTTCTTCTGCAGCATATAATTGGCTTTTAATCACATTCATGTATTTTTCATTTAAAATATTGTGTTTTTTATGTTTATTTTTAATTCCATTTTGGTCTCATATTTTATTTCTATCCTTATTTCTATCTTGGGCATATGGAACATATTTCTTTGAACATATTTATAAGATATGTCTTAATGTCTTTGTAATTCCATATTTGTGTCACTTCTAAGTCTGTTTCTGTTGATTAATTTTCCTCTTGGTTATTCGTGTTCTTTATGCTGTTGGTGGTAGAAATGAGTTACCAGAACTGACTGTGTTGAGGAAAATTTTCTTTTTTTTTAATTACTTTTTACAGATTATAATTATTAACATGTTATATATAAATTAATGGGATTCACTGTAATATTTTCATACATATACATACTGTGCATTGATTATTTTAACCCACCATTCTGTTGTCTACCTCTGTTCCCATTTCTCTTCCCGGGGGCTAAGAGTTCTTTTTCAGCTTTCAAGTCTCTTTGGGATAGGGGAGATTTTCTGTCCTACTGCATTCCTACATTATTTTCCTTGTCTTGGGTAACTTTTTCTCATATATATCATGGATCATTTTACAGCCAAAAATTGGGCATACCCCTCTGTGGATTCCTAGTACTCACACTGTCTTCTTTTGTAGCTTCCTGTTCTTTGATAGTTTACCCTTGAAGTCAGAGCTGCCGCCTTCTACCTGAATTTCAATCTCTTTCTCAATTCCGTCTTTATTTGAGTTACTCCTTTAAAAAAATATATTGTTGTTATTATTTCGATACAGAGGATTGAACTGAGGGGCAGTTTACCACTATGCTATACCTCCAGCTCTTTCTATTTTTCATTTTTTTTGAATTTTAATGTTTATTTTTTAGTTTTCGGTGGACACAACATCTTTGTTCGTATGCGGTGCTGAGGATCGAACCCGGGCAGCGCTACCGCTTGAGCCACATCCCCAGCCCTATATTTTTCATTTTAAGACTGGTTCTACTGGGTTACAGAGATTGCCTTCAACTTGCCTTCCTCCTGCTTCAGCCTCCTGAGTAGCTAGGATTATACATGTGGGCCACTGTGCCTGGCTTTGGTTACTTCTTGTACTGTGGCTTGGGAATTGTCTCCGAGGATTAAGCTGGGGAAGATGTAATAATTGTTTGCCATCTTTTAAGACCTGTTGCCTATTGTCTAGTGCCTGAAACCTTTAACATATTTAGTTTTCTGGCTAAGTCAAGGGAATAAATCCAGTTTCATTTACATCATCTGCAGCAGACGATTCTCTTGGTGTACTTTTAATTTCCTTGCTTATTTTTGATTAGAGTGAAAGTAAACATTTTTTTCATATATTTCAAGGTAATATTGTCTTTCTTTAACACATTTTTTTTTTGAATTTTGTTTTAGTTGTAGATGGACCCAGTACATTTATTTTATTTACTTATTTTATGTGGTCCTGAGGACTGAACCCAGTGTCTCACACATGCCAGTCAGGTGCTCTACCATTGAGCCACAGCTCCCAGCCCTAATATTGTCTTTTGATGATCTTTGTACCTTTTCATGTCCAGCCCATTTTTCTATGGTATTATTGGTCTTTTCATTTTCTATTTTTGGACAGCTTTTTATGTTACGAATAGCAACTCTTTTTCCATATAATATGAAATATTAACGTTCCTGTTCAGTTTTTTGTTTGCCTTTTAATTGTACTTTGTATTGGTATCTTGTGAGACTCTACTCTTTTTTTTTAAAGAGAGTGAGAGGAGAGAGAGAGAGAGAGAGAAATTTTTAATATTTTTTTTAGTTCTCGGTGGACACAACATCTTTGTTGGTATGTGGTGCTGAGGATCGAACCCGGGTCACACGCATGCCAGGCGAGCGCTACCGCTTGAGCCACATCCCCAGCCCGAGACTCTACTCTTTAACTGTGATGAGTTATTGTATCTCTGAATTCTTCATATTGGTTTGGTATTGGGCAATGAGAAAGATTGCTTTTACCGTGTGATGTTTGCATAATAGTTAAGAGCACCGTCTTTATTCAATCTTCATTGTAAGGTTTTGAGTGGTAGAATGATGTGATACATGGGTGTTCTTCCAGGTAGCTACATGACTTCGCTCCTCATCTCCCTTAGAATTCTGCTCAAGCATTAATTTATCAGAAGGGGCCTGTATTTAAAATTCTCTTTTACACTCCCCTCTTCACTTTTATCTTTCTCTCCTTTTCTTTTTTTTCCCTCTGTAGTAGTTATCACAATTTGATATAACACATTTATATTATCATTTGTCTTGTTTCTAAGATGCTGGTAGCATGAAGACAAGGATTTGGGGCCCTTAATAGTGCTCAACTCATAATACTGCTTAATGAGTATTGGTTAATCTGATTTCCCTTTGTGTAGGTTGTTCTGGCACAAAGAAAAAGATGAATAGGAAGAGGCAGACTTCAGAAAGAACACAACCTCCCATCACAGTGGTCTAGTTGTAAGGTGGCAGAAACTTTGTTAGAGTGATAGCAGTGAGAATAAAGAGAAAGGCATCATGGGAATGCCATTAGAAAGGAGTGGATTATCAGTCTTATAATTATCGAATAAAAATTTTAAAACAAAATACTTGTATTTGGTTTATATTGGTAATATAGACATTTGTAAGGCAAAATTATAGGCCATTGAAAGTGAGTCTGAATAGGTCTCAGTGGTTAGTTTTTGGTCTCACAAAGCTTAAACAAATATTAAAGTATCTGACATAAATCATACTAGTTTTTCTGGTTTATTGTTTTTCTTTGATTTTTATTTTTAGAGCATTGCTTCCTGTTTTACATCACAAATCTAAAAAAGGACCCCCTCGTCAAGCCAAATATGCCATTCATTGTATCCATGCGATATTTTCTAGTAAAGAGACCCAGTTTGCACAGATATTTGAGGTAATGAGATTTTTTTTTATTTCATACATCATTGCTAAAACGGAAATATTGATGACTTTTGCAGAATGTTTACATTATTTTGTACATTTTCAGAATTTAAATGAGGGAAAAATCAACATTGATAAATGATTAAAACATGAAAATTTCTGATTATTCAAATGTTTAACACTGATTCAGATTCAGAAATCAAATTATATAATACTTTTTGACATTGCTTTATATATTTGCATTTGGAGACTTATTATAGGGTAATTATATATCAAATTATAGTTACTGATAGTAGATAACAGATGAGTATTCTGTCAGTTTACAGGTTTAAAAATTTGAATTCTGTTTGAGGTACTGAGGGTATAGGGTTTGGAAATCAATATTAATTGGTATTTAAAGTAAGTAAGTTTATACTTTTATGACTAACCAAAGTATGTTTCAGATATAAAGTGTGTCTTTTCAGTATACATTTGTATTATTTTCTACACACTTTAAATTACTTGCACCTAAATATTTATTGCAGTCTTTTATAACTAAGGACTGTCTTTGAAACTTGTTATTGCAAATAAAAGTTATAAAAATCTGTAAAATCCGAATTTATAATTTTACTTTAGGAACTTTCAGTGAAGTCAAAACAATTTGGAAAACATGCCAATGGTATCTACTATAGATACTTGTAATCTCTTATTAAGTAGTTTTTATGCAATTTTGTCATATTTTCATGTATTGTGTTAAACTGTGAGAAGGAAGAAAAGTGCTCTCTTCATCTTCCAAACAACTTTTTATTTTTATGTTTTTTTTCTGTAGATTATAAATAATTTAATTTTTGTGCATGTGGATGTGGGTTTTTTTCCTATAGTTTGTTTTTGTGTATGAGAATGGCTTTAATAAATTCATATTGACCTATGAGAAACTTGTTTTTCTTTCTTTTCTCTCCCTTTTTTTCCCTTTTTAAAAAATTAGTTCTAATCAGTTATACATGACAGTAGAAAGTTCTTTGATTCATAATACACAAATGGAGCAGAATTTTTCAGTTCTCTGGTTGTACATGAGTTACAGTATTCAAGCAGTCATACATGTACCTAGGGTAATGATATCCGTCTCATTCCACCATCTTTCCTACCGCCTGCTTTTTCTTCTTTATCTCTTTTTTAATTTTTGTAATTGGCTCTTGAACCCAGGGACACTTAACCACTGAGCCACACCTCCAAGCCTTTTTTTTTTTTTTTTTTTTTTTTGCTTTTTACAATTTTGAAGACAGGGTTTTGCCAAGTTGTTTAGAGCCTCACTTTGTTGCTGGGGCTGGCCTGGAAATTGCATTCCTCCTGCCTCAGCCTCCAGAGTTTCTGGGATTACAGGTGTGTGCCATTGCGCCTGGCTGCTTTTCTTGATTCATCTTTTTGTTTCATTGATGATGATGAGAGTAAGTTGTGCTTTTAGAGTACTTTTATTTTTTTAAATATTTTATCTGTTACTTAATTTCATCTGCACTAGAATCCCAACTGTATTCCTTTAACTGTAACGTTCAGGTTTTGGAGAAAATATTTTCTAGATATCTCTGGCCTTTTTTGTGGTTGCTGTTATTTCAGGATCTGACTGTTAATTTTGCTTTTCCAAACTCTTTATAATAAACTAATTGAAAAATTTATGCTATCATTATTTTGTTGACAGTATGAACAACAAATTGGCACTTAGCTAGGTGTACTTTGTAAGTACTAAGGGAGTTTATCAGGTGGCATGAGGTAAACTCACTTAAATACATTTTGGACTAAATTAAGCCTGTGTTGCCCTAATGTGTAGCAAAAAACCTCAGTTCCCTATTGCTTTTCAAGCTTGGAATTATTGATGTTCAGTGTCAGGTAATAGGGCACAAATGTTTCAGTAAAACACAACATTAAAATTTATGATAGATAACAAATTCACTTGCTTTCAAATTAGAAGATGGAAAAAGAATATGCAGTAAAAAGTCCACTACCCTTCTCTTCCTACCCACTTATTTAGTTATTTTCCCATATGCAGCCATTGTTATCTGTTACTAATGTCCTTTTCTAGAGATATTTTGTTTATATTGGAGAAGGAATATACAAGTATATACACAAAATACAATTTGGTCCCTGATTGTTTCGATTATTCCAGGGATAGCACTCTTCTGATTTTCCTAGTTTTATTAACAGTACCTTTTGGACATCATTCTGTAAGAGTAAGTGAAAGTTTTTTCATTCTTTTGTTTAGACAAAATGCATATTAATGGTTAGATTTCTTTTCAGAAAAACAAAAATCATTTTGTTATGGTGTTTAATAAAGACACCCAAAATTCGATTGACTATGGACATGGAAAGGCTTTTGTCTTGCTACTGAAAAGTCCTGTTGGACGTTTGGCCCGTTAATCAGTAGCTTACGAACAGACTCTTTCTGAATAGTGGCTTCTTCTTAAGTCCCATCAAATGCTCGGAATTAAATCAGCCACTGAGTACAGATAGACCCTGTGGAAATGACATCCTGCTATGCCTGCCTTAGTGCAGATGTGGCATACCTCACTTTCATTTCTATTCCCTTGACCAGAACTCACTCATATGTTCTCACCTAACTGCAGAGGAAGCTGCAAGTGGAATCATCTTATTGCCCAGGAAGTAGAAGCAAAGTGGACATTTGTGAGCCCTGACAGTCTCTAATATATTCATATAAATAACCATAAAATATATGCTACATAATAGGATTTTACAGGCTGAAATGTTTCTTTACCTACTTCTAAACTATGACTTGGGCAAAACTGAAAATGTTTAAACTTAATGTGTTCTAGACATAGATAATCCTATAGAAATCTAAACATAATCTTAAGTTACTACCTACACCAGGTATGTGCGTTGAAACTTTTGTAGTTTTTGAAATTCAAAGATGAAATATGTTAATTTTTATAATCTTTATTATATAGAGAGAGTTGAATATATTTTCCTCCCTTCATTTTCAGCCTCTGCATAAGAGCCTAGATCCAAGCAACCTGGAACATCTTATAACACCATTGGTTACTATTGGTCATATTGCTCTTCTTGCACCTGATCAGTTTGCTGCTCCTTTGAAATCTTTGGTAGCTACTTTCATTGTGAAAGATCTTCTCATGAATGATCGGGTAATTTATATTCTTTAGATTTGTGTTCTTCATTATGTTATCTGCTAAAATTTTATGCAGCAGAGTAATAAACTGATGGTAATGACATTTCCATTTGGCTGCCTTTATTTTAGGCTTTTTAGTTTTTATTAACTGTGCTCTATCTCCATTATAAGTAAAATAACATTGAAGCAGCTCTTTAGTTGAGCATAGGCATATCACCTGCAATATATATGTAATAAATGTATCACCTGATTCTATTCAGCTCTACAGGAGGTTAATTTTCATAAGGACATCTATTTTTAAAATGTACAGATTGACTAAACAGTTCACAGTTTGGTTGTCATGACTGTGGTTGTTCCTTTTCTTACATAAAGTTAAGAAAAAAAGAACCCTGGTAGAAAATTTTGGTAAAGAAAAGAAATAATGATTTTATTTGTCTTTGGTTTGTGTTTATTTGGGGCTTGATGCCCTGTAGTCACATGAAATTTTATGCTTACGTGTATATATGTATATTTAGATGTGTATACACATATAAATGACTTGTAGATAGCTATCAGTTTTGTATCTTCTGTACCCTCAGAACTGTATTAGGGTCTCTAGAGGATCAAAAGAAAAATGAACCTCTAAAAATACTTAAAATATGCATATTTTAAGTGCACATCTGCCACATGTGTTATATACATCATTATTCTGATCATCCCTTTAATACATCTTGATACTTTTAAATTATTAAGTTTAATACCTTGATACTTTTAAGCTGAGAGGTTATGGAAAAATAGTTTACAGAGATAATAACTGTTGTTGTATATATTAGATTTCTGATGATTTGTGGCTGTGTAAATCTAGTGGTCTAAATCTCTGTGATTTGGAGGCCAAGGGCCTATTTTAATTTCCATAGTCTACCAGTTTCTTTGCCTGTATTCTTGACCTGTCCCTATCATTTCCCCTGTGGAGAGTAGTGTGTGTGTTGGAGGAAGTGTATTTCCATCCTTTAGATAGTGTTTGCTAATCATGTGTTTAAAATTTTCTGTATCCTATATTCTTTTTCTTTTTTATGATCCTGGAGATTGAACCTAGGGACTCACACGTTAGCTCCATTGAGCTACATCCCTAGTCCTTTTTAATTTATTTTGAGACAAGGTCTCACCCGTTGCCCAGGCTGGCATGGAACTTTGGATCCTCCTGCCTCAGCCTCCTAAGTAGTTGGTATTACAGGTGTGTGCCACTGTGCCCTGCCTGTTTTATTTTCCTTAATTAAAAAGTTTAATTGAATTTATCAGAAAAGAACACATTTTATAATGGTGCTGCTTTTAAAATTACCACAAAGTTAACTTTGAACAAATAAGTTGCCCAGGTAATGAAATATACAAGTATATGACCAACACCCCTAAAACTCTTTTTCTTCCCTTTCCTGTCATTACCTCCTTGAAGGTAATGATTTTTACAATCACTTTTACCTGTTTTTAAACTCTTAATAGATGAAACTGTCAGAATAATTTTTTGCATTTTTTTCCTTGCTGGGGATTGAACCCAGGACCTCAAACACACTAGACAAGCCCTCTACCACTGAGTTACATCTGCAACTACACAGTAATTCATTATCTGACTTCCTTCATATAATATTATATTCTTGAGATCAGTTCATATTATTGCACATAGAAGTTGGTTCATTATCATTGCTGTATTGTATAGTAATGTTTGTACCATAATGTACCTGTTCTTTTGCCAGATATTTAGATGGTTTCCAGTGTTAAATGTTGAGGTTATTAATATTTGCTTAAGTATATTTTTGTGCCCTGATGTGTGCATTTCTTTTGGGGTGTGATTGCTGTGTCACAGGGTATTGTATAAGTTCAGATTTAATAGCTTTTGCCAAACTGTTTTTCAAAATGTACCAATTTTTTTTTTATCTGTAATGAATGAAAGTTCTAGTTGTACCATTTTTCTTTTCTATTAGATGTCTCATACTGTATCCATTTTATGAGCAAGTAATAGCATTTTATATATATGTATACACACACATGCACACACACAACTTATTTTCTTTATTTTTTTCCATAATTTTTATTGGTGCATTATAATTATACATAATGGTAGGATTCATTGTTATATATTCATAAATGCACATAATATAGCAATATAAATTGGCCAATATTGTTCCCAACTATATCTTCTTTCCCTCCCCTCTTACCTCACCCTGGTCCCTTTCATCTACTTTGCTGCTCTCCCTTTCATTTACATGAAATTTCCCCCTATTTTTTCTTTTCCTTTATGCTTTCTAGTTTCCACATAACAAAATGTATAACCCTTGACTTTCTAAGTTTGGTTTATTTTGCTTAACATAACCTTCCATCCTGTAGATGACATAATTTCATTCTTTATGGCTGAATAAAACTCCATTGTGTATGTATGTCAATTTTTTTTTATCCATTCATACATTGATAATACATGTAGGCCAGTTCTGTAGTTTGACAATTGTAAATTTTGCTGCTTTAAACATGGGTATGCAAGTGCTATAATATGATGACTTTTAATTCTTGAGAATAAATACTGAGAAGAGTGGTATACCTGGGTCAAATGGTGATTCCTTTCTTACTCTTTTGAGGTACTTCTATACTGATTTCCATAGTTGTTGTACTAATTTAAAATCCCACCAACATTGTAAAATAGTTCCTTTCTCTCTATATCTCTTTAGCATTTATTGTTGTTTGTAATCTTGATAGCTGCCATTTACTGGAGTGACATGAAATCTTAGTGTAGTTTTGATTTGCATTTTCCTAATTGCTAAAGATGCTGAACATTTTTCATGTGTGTGTTGGTCTTTTTTGTTTGTTTATGTTTTGTGGTACTAGGGATTAAACCTAGTGGTGATTTACTACTGTGCCACATTGCCAGTCCTTTTTATTTATTTAGCAACTTAGGAACTCACTAAGTTGCTGAAGCTGTCCTCAAACTTGCGATCCTCCTGCCTCAGCTTCCTGTTTCTAGAACTACAGATATGCATGGCACTGCCCAACTGTTTCTTCCTTTGAGAAGTGTGTGTAGTTCATTTGCCCATTTATTAATTGGGTTATTTGGGGTTTTTAATGTTAAATTTTCGATATTTTAAAATTTGATATTTTGGATATTTATCCTCTGTTAGAAGAGTAGCTGTCAAAGATTTTCTCCCATTCTGGAGATTTTTCTCTTCACGCTCTTGTTTCTTTCGCTGTGCAGAAGCTTTTTAATTTGATACCATCAAATTTATTAACTCTTGATGATATTTCCTGAATTTTAGGAGTCCTGTTGAGGAAGTTGTTGCCTGCACCTATATGTTGGAATGTTGATCCTATGTTTTCTTAATAGGAGTTGGATAGTTTCTGATCTTTTCCTGGGTCTTTGATCCATAGAGTTGACTTTGGTGGTGGGTAAGAGATAAGGATCTAGTCTCCTTATTCTACATATGGATAACCAGTTTTCCCAGCACCATTTGTTTAAAAAGGCTGACTTTCCTCCTGTGTTTTTTAGCACCTTTGTCAAGGATCAGATGGCTGTATTTATATGGTTTTGTCAGTGTGTCTTTTGTTGATCAGTTTTTATGTCAGTATCATGCAATTCTTGTTACTATAGCTCTGTAGTATAAATTTAAGTCAGGTATTGTGATGTATCCATTTTACTTTTTGGGCTTAGGATTGTTTTGGCTATTCTGTGTCTTTTATTCTTCCAAATTAAATTTATTTTTCTTCTTCCTTCTTTCTTTTCTTCCCTTCCCTTTCCTTTTTGGTACCAGGGATTTAACTTAGTGACACTTGACCATTGAGCCACATCTCCAGCCCTATTTTGTATTTTATTTAAAAGCAGGGTCTTACTGACTTGCTTAGCACCTCTCCATTGCTGAAGCTAGCTTTTAACTTGAGATCCTCCTGTGCTGCTGGGATTACAGGTGTGTGCTATCTTACTTGGCCTTCCAGATGAATTTTAGAACCCCCGCCCTCCCTTGTGTGAAGGATGTCATTGGTATTTTGATGGAGATTGCAGTGAATTGTTATGTTGATTTTTAACATTATAACTTATGCCTATCTATGAACATATGAGGTCTTCCTATCTTCTTATTTCTTCAGTTTCTTTCTTCAGTGTTCTGTAGTTTTCATTGGGGAGGTCTTTTATCTCTTTGGTTAGATTTATTCATAGATAATTTATTTTTTATTTTTTTTGAGGGTCTTGTGAATGGAATTGTTTTCTTGATTTCTTTCTTGGCAGATTCATTATTGGCATGTAGGAAAGCTATTGATTTTTGTACACTGCTACTTTGCTGCATTTGCTTATTAGCTCTATCAGTCTTCTGGTGGAGCGTTTTGGATCTTCTAAGTATAGCATCATATCTGCAAACAGAGATGATTTGACTTCTTCCTTTCCTGTTTTTTAGTCCCTTTTATTTACTTCTCTAATTTAACTGCTCTGCCTAGAATTTCTATTACTACATTGAATAGGAGTGCTGAGAGTCGACATCCTTGTCTTGTTCCAGATTTTAAAGGAAATGCTTCAGTTTTTCCCCATGCACTGTCTTTGGATTTGTCCTGTATGTCCTTTGTGATGTTGAGGTAGGTTCCTTCTGTTCCTAGTTTTTGAGTGTTTCTATCATGAATGAGTGCTGAATTTTGTCAGAGGTTTTCTCTGCCTCTACTGAGATAATTACCTGATTTTTATCCTTAATTCTATTTATGTGATGAATTACATTTATTGATTTGTAAATGTTAAACCATCTTTGCAACCCTGGGAAAAAACAAACCTAATCTTGTCATACAGTGTTTTTTTTTAAATATTTATTTTTCAGTTTTAGGTGGACACAATATCTTTATTTTACATTTCTGTGGTGCTGAGGATCGAACCCAGTGCCTCATACATAATAGGCGAGTGCTCTACCACTGAGCCACAACTCCAGCCCGATACAGTGTTCTTAATATGTGTTTTGCACATGATTTCCTAATGGTTTATTAAGGATTTTTGCATGTAATTTCATCAGGGGTATTGGTTTGTAG